GGGGCCTCTCTGGCTTGTTAGTGGGTTTATCAGGTTGATTGGAATAGAGGGCACAACTAGACCTGAACTAAGTGTTAATTCGCCTCTTCTGGCTCCGTGGCCTTGAGCTAGTGACTTTATAATTCTCACCTCAATTTCTTTACCTGTCCAATGGGAATGATGAAGTCTTTTTTTCTCAAAGTCCACTGAGCTAATAAAGACCTTTTGCTCAAAGTCCATTGAAATAATTAAATTTAAACATGGTTGTAAAGCACTCGCACAGTGCTGGGTGAGTTGTAGCTACTCAATGTGTGCTAAGAATCTTGCTTCAGCCACCCAGTTGGATGTGACATGCTGAAAGGGAAAGAGCTTTGCTCTGCCTTGTGGTTGCATCACAGGCCACACATGTGGAGGAGTCTTGATGGTTACCCACAGAAATCAGTGTCCTTAGGAGCATCAGAAATGCTTCCTTAGTGAAGGAGGCAGCAGTGTGTTAGTGGCTAGGCAGAGACAGGGGCACCTGGGAACCAGAGGCACTGTGGTAATTAGGGGAATAGCAGTGGCCCCTACCAGGGAGGTTCTTAGGTTGTTGGAGAAAAGGCACAATGGCCATGGACCCCAGGAGCAGTCCTTTTATGGGAGCACGTGCAATAGTTTTTAGGAACTTCAGGGCATACTTAGAGAGGATATTTTGAGAGAGTTGTGTTAATAGCTCAAGACCTCAAATTAAAATTTGGGGGTCTTTCATGGAAAATTTGGGTAAATTCATTTAATCAAAAATATGTATTGAGCACCCACTTTATGTTGGGAGCTCTTCTAGGTTTAGAAAACCATGCTCAGCAAGAAGGACTGGTATCCTCATCCATTTGGGAAGCTTGCACTCCAGGACTGACTATACATGCATCAATGCACAAGAGATTTTCACTTAGTAGTGAGCCTGTGAAAATAAAATACTTTGAGGACTATGACAAAGATTACAGGGGTGGTAGGCAGCGCCTTGCTGCACAGAAGGTATTTCAGCTAAGACCTCCATGAGGAGAAGAAACTATCTTTGGGAACATCTGGGTAAGAGTGGGCCAGGCAGAGGAGACATCACGAGCCAAGGTCTCGAATCAGGACGGAGAGCCAAGAGCAGCATGCCCACTGAAAAGCAGAAGTGAGAGACAGTTCAGAGAGACATCTCTGAAACGATGTCAGAGAAGCTGAGAGAAGCCAGTTGGAAAAAAAGACACACAAAAAAATTTCATTGAAAAAGCCCTACTAAAAAGCTAGCAAACATCAAAATAAGCAATAGGGTGAAATAACATTATTTCCAAACAAATTAATGAAGTAATGTAGTTGATCATCAAGGAGGAGACACACCATCACTTTCAGCATATTTTAGTACCTAAGACAGTGCCGGGTTGTGAGGTTGCATGATGCCATGTTCTTAGACCTTAGACCTTGTACATTGTTTTAATCACCAAAATGTGACTGGTGGATTGTATTTTCAATCCTGATATAGAATTAGTATAAACTAGTGGATGTCATGAAATGACGCTGAACTTAGAGCCAGAAGGTCCAGGGTCAAGTTCAAGTTGCAAGATTCCACCTGCTGAAAGACCCTGGGCACTCCCCTTCGCCCCACTGAAATTGTTTCCTTAGGTCTAAGTTTAAACAAATTGCTACCACAGAAGGAAATTACGGGAATTAAGCAAGACAATGATTTTAAAGGTCCTTGAAAATTGTAAAGCATCATCCACATTTATTGCTTAAAAATAATTTTTTAACGTTTTTTGTTTAAAACTTTTCTCTCTCTTGCTTCCTTTGCATCTATTTCTTATTTTTCTTTTAAATTTTATACATATTGTATCACTGTTCTTTTCAAGGAAAACCACTAGAGGTCAGAATTTCACATAAATTGTTTAAAGAAACCACCAAAATGTGGGAGGGGGGAAGGCAGTGGGAGGGAGGAAGGCGGTGGGAAGGAGGGAGAAAGTGGGGAGGGGAGGAGAAGGGAGAAAGAGAGAGAGAGAATTTCATTTTCCTGCTAGGTAACAAACAATACGTTTAAGACATAAAAAGAAAAATAATAATGGCTTGCAACAAAGAAGTTTTGATCTTATTCTCAAAATTGTTATTTAACAGGCTTAGATAGGGAGGGAAGGAAAAGATAAAATAGAATTTGTTAAAATTTTTATTGATGATGTCTACAACAGCTTAAAGTGCACATTGATTAACCTATAATTGTTAAAACAGGTCTGAGATGAATGCTCATGTTGCAAATGAAGACACTGAAGTGTAACAGATGTAACAGCATGCTGAAGACAAGATTGACTCCAGTGTCTTTCTTTCCACTAAACTATGTTTGGGGAAATAAGACTTTAAAGATAATATCTGTATATTGGTCAATATATTCTATGATTGGTTAGCATTCCTGGGTTTTCACAAATGTCATTCTGCAATTCTAAATAATGTATTTAGTTTTCACTCTCCCAAATGAATTTAGGGAAAATTCCTTTCACGTTCTGTTTCCCATAGTATCTAGAAATTTCTGAGCACTGTGCTTCTGCAGTGCTAGTAAATACCGTAATAAGATGGTTAGCCGCGGAGAAAAGTATTACGTCTAGCTTGATCTTAGGGAAAAATATTGAAAAATGTCATAATCCAGTCCTTTAAAACATTTACTTAGCCATCATACTATTTTTTTTTTTTATTTTGTAAAGCTAAATATACATATATAGCTTGTTTAGGAGTAGGGAGGGGTTGTCACAGTATTCATGAAGGAACAAGGTGGAGAAGATGACAGCATATATATATATCTATATATATATATAGTTATATTTAATTTTTTTCAGAAAAAATATATAATTATATATATATATATATATATATATATATATATATATATATATATTTTTTTTTTTGCGATTGGGTCTCTGTTGCCCAGGCTGAAGTGGCATGATCATGGCCCATGTAGGCCCAACCAACTGGACTCAAGCAGTTCTCCTGCCTCAGCCTCCCAGGTAGCTGGAACTACAGGTGTGTACCACCACACCTAGCTATTTTTTAAAAATATTTTAATTTTTTGTAAAGATGGGATCTCCTTATTTCACCCAGGCTGTTCTCAAACACCTGGGATCAAGTGATCCACCTGCCTTGGCCTCCCTAAGTGCTGAGATTACACGCATGAGCCAGCACACCGGACCGACTGTTCATATCTTGAGAGAACGTATCATGTCTTGGTTTCTGCTGTAGCCATATCATCCAGCATAGTGTCTAGAGCAGAGGAAAGGCAGTGATGAATATGCTTATGTTGCTTTAGGTGCATTTAGGTGTGTAGGGAATTTGCAAAGAAAAAGGATAAATTAACTGGTGCTGACCTCAAGAGTTTGTAATCTAATACAAAGCTTAATATGTAGATGTAAGAGCTAGGACAGGTTACTTATCTTAGATTCCAATCCCTAGCATCTAACATGATGTCTGGAACTTAGTAGGTACTCAGTACATTCCAGAAACATGGATTTCTTTTATTATTATTATTAAGAATAAAATTTAGAGTCCATTTGACGCAGTTTCCAGGCTTCGGATGATAAGGAGGAAATCATATCCAAGAACATAACAGACTTAGTTCTAGAACCCAGAGTTCTAGAGCTCTGCTTCCCAAGTCTCTCTCTGCAGGAGCACCCACTCCATTTTGTCACACTCTGGCTTGTAATTATCTCATAATGCCTGCACATGCTCAGGAAGAAAGTTAATGAGATTTCCATTATTTGAAATCTTAACAGGGTTTCTAATCGGAAACTGGGAAGGGAGAAGCTTTCTATTAGGTAAAAAAACAGTGCTATTCTCAAATGGAGTCTCCCATTTGCAGGTACAAGAAAAACTTTAATTTTCAACATCTCCCGTGACACCTCAGGAATAATCTAAAGTTTCCTACACTCTAAGGAAAGTTGAGTAATGGTTTTAAGTAAATACTTTATTTCTAATCAAAACTTGTTTTCTGAACGTTTGCCCTCACATTATTCATTTATTCACCCAAGAAATTATTTGGAAGCTCTAAGGTCTCATTGTTCCTCACAGCATTTATTTTATCGTATCAAAGGTTAAAACTTGGATTGCAATCTTAGAGGAAAATTAATTCAGTGATTAAGAAAAATGCACTTTAAGCAATACACATTTAAGTAAGTGACAAGCATGGGGTAACATATTTCTGAATTTTTTTTTTGAAAAACCTTCTTTTCTACCTAAAATTTTAAGCAGTTGCAATTCTTCCACCCTATAGCCTAGAGAAACAGCATGAATTACTAATAAGGGAGCACCAATCTGCAGTGCAGTGACCAGTTTCAGAACAAAAGGGTAAAAGCTAAAACCAGAAAAAAATAAATTTTGTATCTACTAGTTGCTTAAAGCATATTTGGACCTTGGCTCTACTTGAGAACATTTTGCAATATTCTACCATTCTTCCACAGAAGGTATTTGGCCCCAAAGACCATACTTCCAAATAAAGAAATGTTCATTTATATACTATCTCCAATACTCGACGAAATGTTTCCATCCTCTACGTTGGAACTCAGGATCCCATTAACTTATGAAACATATATTTAAGATTTAAATTTTCTTTTACTGACCTTTTGCCTAAACAGTTTTGCCGGCAACAGTATTAGAAAGGAGGAGAATTAAAACAGCCAAAGAATAGAGATGCTTTCAAGGGAGGAAAGGATTTCTGAAGACTGATGCCTGGATTGTGCATCTGCCCCTGGAACAGAATGTAACAGGGAATTTCCCCCTGCCCTGGGTAAGTTCCCTCAGATCCCTGTCCTGGGTTTCCCCCTCCCAACATCCTCTTACCTAACATCAAGGGAGAGTTTTAAAGAAGTAACAGACCAGATATGGAAAATCCCGATTTTCCAAAATAGAAGGAAAGTGAGAAGAAACTAGGAAGGAAAGAAGAGAAAGTCATTGGAATCTAGGAGGGGGTTCAGAGATGAGGGAAGAGATCATATTTGTTATACATGAAAACTGTGGTTTTCTTTCCTCACCTTTGGGTCCTGGTGAAATTGTGTGTGTTGCACAGACTTCAGCGGTAGGACGGCTATTGATATCCAGACCCAGGCTCTGAATTTGCAAAAGAAATAGTACCAGGAGGATAAACTGTTTTCTTCCAAGAAAAGATGCAAAGCCATTCATTGCTGTGGTTCCTCAGAAAAGGGTCGCCCAGAAATGCCAAATAAACAGCTTTATTTTAAATAAAACCTCCTGCTTCTGGGAAGAAAGGGAAGTATTTGGAACACACATTCCAAAAAGGCCTACAAAGACAGGAAGGAAGCATACCCTAGATTGTTTATTTTCTCAGTGTTTCAAATGGACCATACATTGTCCAGACTGTTTATTTTCAAGTGACAATAGTTTATTAAAAATTATCTCTGAACTCCAGTGTGAAGGTCGGCAGAAACATCCCCAAGAGCAAAGAAGAGACAGATGCCTTCTGCTGAGTACTTGAGCTGACAATTTAACAGACGATATTGCCTTTAAACACTGAGTTTCAGAAAGGTTGTGAACCAGAGAGGTCTTCAGCTAGCAACATGTTATGCAAACACTATGCATGGCTTTGAGCTTTTCATAAGGCGATATTTATTGCCTGCTTGTGCCTGTTGGACACTAATGCTTCCAATGCCCTTCATGACCTTATTTTTCTCTCTTGCTACCAAGGTTAGTCTTTTGTGATTAAATTTGAAAGGAAAGAACAAGCAGCATTTCTGTGAAGCAACTTGGTAGTAAGGATTAGGAATATTAAAATGTTTATAACCTTTGGCCCAGTTTACAGCTTTTAGCCTTCCTGGCACACTATCTCAAGGAGACATTCTGAAATGTGGGCAAAGCTTCATTTGAAGAGATGTGGCAGAAAGGGGAAAGGCCACCAATTGCCTAACAACCTGTTAACAGTGGCCAAATTATGGTAAATAGAAATGTATGAGAGGGTATGACATGGCAATTTTATTAAAACAGTGTTTTCAGCAAGTTTTTGATAAAATAAGGGTAGAAGCTTATGATATTAAGTTTCATAAAAAGCTCAATAGATTTAGATGTAGAGTATGTAGATCAGATACAGACATAGATACAGATATCAGGATCTCTATCTATTCCAACATATAACCTGTACAAATAGTCTAGGCAGAGTAAGATATTGGAAGATTGGAACCAGAATCCCGTACATTGGAGAGGCCCCTTACCTTCTCCATTCTTGAACAGGCATGTCAACTAAGAGAGGTGAAAGGGATTTTGGACCTGCTTTCCCAGAAATTGGAAAAGAAGGACCTTACAGATCCCGATGCAGACTGACTGCTGAAAAACTATCCCTAAGAGATGTTGTTACAAGTAACCATCAATCCAAGAAATACAGATGCACTAGTTTCCTCAGGCTGCTGTAACAAAGCACTATAAACTGAGTGGCTTAAACCAGTGGCCAGTTGGCTAAAATCAATGCCAACCTTTTTGGCACGAGGAACCAGTTTGGTGGAAGACAGTTTTTCTATGAGGAAGATGTGGAAATAGTTTCAGGATGATTCAGGCACATTACTTTATTCATTTTTTGAGATGGAGTCTTGCTGTCGCCCAGGCTGGGGTACAGTTGCGTGATTTTGGCTCACTGCAACCTCCGCCTCCTGGGTTCAAGCGATTCTCGCGACTCAGCCTACCGAGTAGCTGAGATTGCAGGTGTGGACCACTACACCTGGCTAATTTTTTGTATTTTTAGTAGAGTTGGGGTTTCACCATGTTGGCCAGGCTGGTCTGCAACTCCCGACCTCAAGTGATCCGCCCACCTCGGCCTCCCTAAATGCTGGGATTGCAGATGTGAGCCACCGTAATTGGCTTCAAGCACATTACATTTATTGTACACCTTCTCTCTATTATTTGCATTGTAATATATAATGAAATAATTATACAACTCACTATAATGTAGAATCGGTGGGAGCATTGAGCTTGTTTTACTGCAACTAGATGGTCCCATCTGGGGGTGACGGGAGACAGAGATAGATCATCTGGCATTATATTATCCTAAAGATCAGGCAACCTAAATCCCTGCACGTGCAATTCACAATAGGGTTCGCACTCCTATGAGAATCTAATCCTGCTGCTGATTCACAGGAGGTGGAACTCAGGCACCATAGTGACTGATGGGGAACAGCTGTAAATAGAGATGAAACTTCACAGGCTCACCCACCACTCACCTCCTGCTGTGCAGCTTGGTTCCTAACAGGCCACAAACCGTTACCAGTCCGTGGCATGGGGGTTGGGGACCCCAGCCTTAAACAGCAGAAATTTTCTCTGAGGAATTGGGGATCAGAATTTCAACACAGAATTTGAAATTCTGGGAGGGACAATTGAGTCCATCACAACAAAGCATATAGCGAAACTGACTGATCTTTTCGTAAGCAGTATAGGGAAGGAAATTGGCACTGATTGAATAGTCTTTATGTACAGGCTGAGAACTAGTCTCAACTTGAGTTCATCTCATTTAGTCTCAAAATAGTCCTGTGGATTAGACAGTAGTCCTTTTGTTTTGCAAACAAAGTAGCTGAGGCCCAAAAAATTAAGCAGTTTTAGTAAGGTCATCCATTGAAAAAGTGAGCAATGAAAAAAAAAAATCAAATACAAATTATTTCCCCAAATCCTGCTTTTAAAATACTATTTGGTTTCCATAAAGATGAGTATTCTCAAGCATTGAGGATGCATTAATTTTCACAAACACTTAAAAGGTCCAAAGTGGATGCATTTGTCAGGTTAACAGTGATAGAAAAATAGTGAAAATAGAATGATGTTAGGAATCTCAAACTTTACATCTGTCCTCAAGATATGTGACATAGAGCAAACCATGTAATGTCAATTGCCACAAGGCATGTAAAGTGAGTTTGGACTTGACATTTAATGTTCTTTCTAAATGCTATGATTCTAAGAAAATTGGTACTCTTTAAATCGGTTAGACTACTCTAAGTCTATTTCACTTATTTGTTTCTTTTCAAACATTCCCTGTCACACAATGAGGATGGAATCATTGCATTTATATATAGAAATTAACTAGTAATCATTTCAAACAAGTAATAGTCCTTAAAATTTTTCTTGGCATATCCTGTCTCCTTTTTTACTCAATAAGGCATATAAATATATTTCTATATAATATATATTACATCAAAATTTAAATTGCTGCAGGGAACGCATCACATATTATATGTATATATATATACACATACATATATATATATATATATAAAACATTACTTAATTTTAAAATGGGAAAGATGATTGAATACATAAAAGAGGTTAAAATATGTTAAGTATATTATCTTTAGTGTGCAAAAAAATAGTGCTTCCAATAAATATTTCTACTGACATTTTAAAGAGTTCAGTCTTGTTTATTCAGAAGACGAAGTCACTGAGAACAATAAGTCAACACTGTTTTTGCCTTAAACATTGTTTTAAAATAGACAATAAGCCAATCAAGTTTACAGATTGCATAAAATTGGAAGAGGTTAATGGTAAATCTAAAAAGAAAAGAATTAGTGTCTAGTTTATAAAATTGTCTTCATAATTCCACTTTTTTTCTGACTGCTTTCATCTTTCATTTCCCAAGATATTGGAATTCCAGGCTTAGCTTTGTATTTGTCCAAATATGACATGTCATTAAAGTAAATAACAAGTAATATTTGCTGCTTGTTATTTTTCTACCTTTTTTTGTGAATTGAATTGTGGCCCCAAAAAACATGTGTCCACATACATCTAACCTGGAAACTGTGAATGTGACCTTATGTGACAAAATGGCCTTTGCAAACATAATTAAGCTAAGAGTCTCAAGATGACATCATCTTAGGTTATTTGGGTGGGCCCTAAATCCAATGACAAGAATTCTTAGAAGAGGCACCCAAAAGAGGGAGACAGAGACGAAAGGAGAAGGCCATTTGAAGACGGAGGCAGAAATTTGAGTTATGCAACAACAAACTAAAGAATGGGCTTGCAGCCACCATAAACTGTCAAAGGCAAGGAGGGCTTCTTCCCTACAGCCTGTAGAGCAGAGTTCTCTACTACATACCCCTCGATTTTGTACTTGTGGCCTTGAGAAGTATGAGGTAATAAAGGTCTGTTGTATTAAGGCACCAAGTTTGGGGTAATTTGTTATGGCAGCCCTAAGAAACTAACACACCATTCCTGTGCTATTCCTCCACAGTTACTGGAAGAAATAACACATTGAAACGTTTGCTCAGTTCCTAACAGACACCCAGCAACATCCGTTCTTGTGCATTTTAATTAGGCATCCAGCTTCATGATATTTTCCTGGAAGGAAAATACATTCCAGGATATGAAAAAAAGCATATCCTAAGGCAGAAGTATTTTGCTAGTTAAAACAGGATAGCAAAACAATGACAACCTCATCTCCAGAGGGGATTTCCTGACAAATTGATGTAACTCAATTTTGGACGTGTTTTCAGCTTTGTCCATTCACTTAAGTACTTAGTGGATTAAAGATCTCTCTTGTGAGTTAATAACTTTATGCAGTTTGTAAAAAATGGAAATTAGAATGGCTTTTAAAATAATGCATTTAGAAAGTAACATGCAAACACACCATAATTTTTTTTTTTTTTTTTACATTTCAAAGTTCATATTTATAAAACCACATTAAAAAAAAAAATTAAGGCTGCGTGTGGTGGCTCACACCTATCGTCCCAACACTTTGGGAGGCTGAGGCAGGTAGACTGCTTGAAGTCAGGAGTTTAAGAACATTCTGGCCAACATGGTGAAAACTTGTCTCTACTAAAAATACAAAAATTAGTCTGGCATGGTGGTATGTGCCTGTAGTGCCACAGGGGAGGCTGAGGCAGGAGAATCATTTGAACCCAGGAGGTGGAGGTTGCAGTGAGCCGAGATTGCACCACCGCACTCCAGCCTGGGCAACACAGTGAGAGTCTGCTGCCCAGAGTCTCANAAAAAAAAAAAAAAAAAAAAAAAAAAAAAAAAAAAAAAAGAATAAAAAAGAAAAAATCAAATATTCAACCTGGAAAGCTGATTAAAAAAAAAAAAAGTCAAATGGTTTTAACAGGCTTATTTGGCAAAATCAGAAGTTTCTCACTCTTTGCTCTCCACTCCCGATTCTTACTCCTATAAGAATACTATAGTAATTATTTCAGGGATTCTTAAGTTATCTCCTTTGTATTTTTAAGTAACAGACTGAACTTTGGTTTTTATTTCTTTCAGTTTAGATACACACTGACTTCTAAATATGGAAGATGGAGACATCTCTCACTTTCCTA